AAAATAAAGGATGTAAATTATTTGTTGCTAAACATAAATGATTCTTGAAATTTAAAAATATATTTTCCATTTGAAATTTCCTTGAAACTTTAATAAAAGGCTATAACAAATTAAATTAAACCATAGACCCAAAATTTTGCAAAATGAAATCCGGAACATGTTTATAGTAAAATGAATTAATTTTTTTTTTCTTTCGAAGGTAACCTATCAATAAGTTTAAAATAATGTTTGGATACTTAATAAGAACTTGTAAAACAACTTTTGGTTTAGTCTTTCAAAATGAGTATTGAAGAAGTTATAATTTGTGATTTTTTAGAATAATTTATGACTTACTAAAATAAAAAAATAAGCAAAAATCAATAAGTTAGCTAAATATTTTTTAACTTATTGACTTATTGACTGTTGCTATGAAAAAGATAATCCAAACACTTTTAAAATCTCATTTTCCCAAATTAATAAGTCAATATGTCATTTTAGAAAAAATAAATCATTTTTAATTTCAAAATAAAATCCCAAACACCCTCAAAGATATGTAAAATGAGCTCGAACATACCTTAATTTTAGGAGTTAGAAACAGGAAAGAATATATCTATTCTTTTGCATTTGGTGTTACATTTAATTTAATCTAATATAATAAATAGATTACATATATAGATTTAATATAATAAATACATTACATATATAAATTAGTAATATGTGCCATTTGAAATAAATGAAAATTAAGAAAACCATAAATTAACATATGGATTTCCATTTTGTAAACAATGTTAAGGTTTTGTACCCTGGTAGATATATGGAGTTTGTAACTCTTATTAATAGTATGTCCATAAAAGTTGCAATGTGTACAAAAAGGACTATCTTTGTTGTTGAATCTCTTGTTTTGATTTTTATTGTTGTTAACAGGTCTATTGTTCGTAGACTTTGATACTTAAGCAACTAATAATGTATGTTAATGATCAGTCGAGATGACTTGTTATTTCTCCTCTAGGGCAACAAGATAGAAGACATGATTGATAGAAGGTGATGGATCCATTAGAAGGATTTAGACATGAGTTACAGAAACCGAGTCATTTGACCTCATCAAGAAATTCATAATTTGTTCGGACTGAAAATATTTTTCAATTTATTTTACACCATCGCATTCTCACTTTCCACACGAGCATTTTGGAATGAAATTCTCAAGTTCTTCAGAAAACGATTTCAATTTTGTGAAGTAGATGCCAACTGAATCTTGATTTTGATTAAGATTCACAATTTCTATGCGAATTTGAAAGATCAGGGTTATGTTGCTCTGTTGATAGCGATGCTTGAGAATGTTCCAAATTATCTAAGCAGAATCAGCAAACATGATGCTCGTTGAGATTTCCTTAGAAACAAAATAGAGAATCCACAAAACAAATAGCTGATTATTTCACATCTATGAACTATGATTGATGATTTGAGAAATAGGAGGTTCAGGTAAAGATCCATTGATGAATTTGACCTTATTTTTTACAGAAAGAGCAATCATAATTGATCTTCTCCATGGCAGATAATTTTCATTAGTAAGTGGTTGAGAAACAAGGATGAAACTGAGATTATCTGAATGATGAATGTAATAAGGTGACATTTTATCATCAATCGATGAAATGTTCTAATTTTGTGAACTTTCAGGTTAATATCTAGACATGGCAAATCGATTTTAGAAATCAAAGATCAAAAGAAGAATATGAAAAGAATCGATCAAGATTGATCAAGAACTGAGCAAAAATGAGCTATGTGGCTCTGATACCATATCAAACAATAGAACGGAGGAAAAAAAAACTTCTCAGATTGCATTGAACCAATCAACTGATTTCATATGCTAGAGAAGGAATAACAACTAACAACCACAACTAATTTTGACATATAATTACACTTTAAACCTTCTACTAACCCTATTTACATCTCTAACCCTCTAATATGGTAGCAAGGACATCGAGCTTACCTTGTCAACATAAGGACCTAAAGACACACAACCTTGCATTTCCTCCCACAATATTTAGAGCATTTGTCTCTCCAACTAGATTTCAAACAGCTGTATGCACATTTCCCATCACAATATTTCAGTAATGTACTACCTTATCATTCAAATCGATAAAATCTCATAAGTAGAAACAGCAAACACCACATAAATTAACGAAGAAACTCGTAGGGATTGGTTTAATTCATGAAGTGATTACTTATCGTTGGAGATGGAGCTGGGGATGCTCCGATGGTTATGGATTCAATGGTGACGGTGGAGATCAGGAGTAGAGTGGCAATTAGTGAAAGGTGGTCCACGTTGTTTGATTATGATTTATGGGCGATAGGTTTGGTGATCATTCAGAAGGTATTTATAGTGGTATCGGTGGTGGTGCATGATTGACGGTGATTCATATGAAATTTTGGGTTTCACACGCACTCGACATATTAAATTATAGTTTAACAACTTGTGTTTCAAACGCCACATCAAATGTGTTTGATAATATGTCTGTAATGGTTCACTATTTTAATTTTAAAATAATATATAAATGAAAATAAATGTCTTGAAAAACAATAAAAACATGTATTAATAAATATTATACTACATCAACTGTTCTTGACATAAATTATATTTTTTTTCAACGATATATTTAAACGAATGAATAACAATTTTTGACATGGACTAGCTTGGTGCATATCTTAGTTTTAGATTCTTGATGATGTTAAGGAGCCATATAATTGGGCTTATTCTGGTGGTATTATCTGAAAACTCATCCTATCCAAATGATTTTTTTTAAAGTTCAACATATGTTATTTTGGTAGGGTAGGCTGTTCAGCGGACCAAATTCGATTACTTGTTAATGAGTTGGAAACTGATTTTTAATAATTAATAGGTAGCATTATATCATACATGTAGCGGAGGTTTTAACCAAATAATTGTAGTTGTAAAACATACTTACCAACTACCTAATACTAATAGTATTTTTTTTAAGGGAAATTAAGTGATATACCTACATTTTAATGTATATTTGAAGAAAATAACAAAAAAAAAAGTATTTTTTAGCGGGATTAACATGTGATCTTGCAAATTCATCAATACTCAAAACTAATAAATTAACAAAAACATGGTTAATTAATGTTCTACATATTATAGATTCCCATGCAAATATGCGATGCTTTAGAATCCAACGGTGGAGCTCTTGGTTTCTTGGTAGTGAAAGAAACTTCCATCGTCTTTTGAAGACAGACATGAATTTACGTTTCAATCTCTCCTTATTAACAAATAATGTGGGTCGTACATGTATTTACCCATCACCATCTTTTGGTAAATAATTTGCAAATTATGAGATTTTCTAATATGCGTTTTAAGAACATATATAAAAAACATTAATCGAAACAATAATTATAAAAATATTATCATAATTAAATGCAATAAACATTAATTATGGTAATATTATAACTAATACTTCAATCAATACTTTTTATATGTACCTTTATATATTAGAAAATCTCAACCACAATTGTTTTGTAATTACATTTTCAAATTACCATTGTCTAAAAATTAAAAAAATAAATAAAAAATAAAAAATAAAAAACTCGAAGGGAAACGAAAATACCATGCATAACCTCCGTATGTAGCAATCTCTACTATAAGCAATGAAACCGTTGGTATTACCATTAAAACTAGACATTGATTTAGATGTTATTTGTTTTTTTTTTTTTTTAAATCACTTCTGACCAATTATTGTTTTGCTGCGCAGCCACGTGCAACACTTGGCTATTCACAACTATTTGTTTTTCAGATGACCTTAAACTTAAAAAGTGTTCTGCGTGTACTACGTGACACAACATTTGACCTTTTTACTTCAAAGCTTTTTACAAACAAACTTTTTATCACATGTTACAGTCGTTTGGTCTCCTCTTCTGCTACAGAAGGTTGTAGAGAATGTCCGTAGACTTTAGATATTTTCGCTTAAAAAAAAAACAAACGGCACCTTATACTTGTCATTAATCATAGTGATTTGCAGTATCCAAAAAATAATAAGTTTTAAATTATATTCATTTGTTAAAATATTGGAGATGTTAAATACCCTCTTTTTAAATATTTCTATTTATCCTCCTATTCATAAGATCACCACAAGTATCAAAATCATAAGAAGAGATGAGGAAAAAAATTAATATTTTACACATGAGTACTAAGTAGGAAGCAATTTAAATTGTCCTATATTTTTACATCCACTTTTAGTTCTCCTATTGACCAAGGGTTGATGAGATGTTTGGTAATATGTCAAGCTAATGAAGTCGTGTACCAGTGCCCTAAGAAGAAGTCTTTTCTAACTTTATACTCCACTTGGAGTTGTTTATACCATGACTCATCCATCTGTTAGAACATTAATATATTCTTTTGTTTTTTACATGGGTGATATTCTATCTTCCGATTCAGATCCATCATGGCTTCTGAGATTAGATGGGGCTGGGGGAGCAAACACATGAAAAGGGTGACAAAGATATAGCTTTCTTGGAAGTTGTGAAAACCATGAGTTATCCATGGAAGGACTTTCAGATGGATGCGATCCATTCTTTGGCTCTTTAATTTGAAGCTTATGATAAGAATGTTCTGCAATATAATTAATCAACAAATTTAAAAATTGAATGTGATTCATGCGAGCTCAAGCTTGATGGGATGCAAGAACTAGAAGAGGTCACGAGTGATAATCGTGCCAAGTTGATTGATATTGAATGTAACGAAACTATGAAAGAGTTACTGATTGATAATTACTATGTAAAGTATTTTTTTTAATTATCCAATTGCATTTCCTGTTATTTTCGAAACGATTTCCATTCACTTACACACAAGTGTGAAATAAAATCAATTGGGTCCTACATTAATTAATTATTCCAATATTCTAGAGGGGTATTCAAGTGAAAACACACTTTTAACAAAAGACAAAAAGAAACAAAATTATCCACTATATACCAACCCATCTTTGTCAAAGAGTTAGTTGTTATAATCAAAGCTAAAAGACGACTAATCTATAGGTGGCTGCTTCTTGATGAAGGCTGTGGGCTATACAAAACCACAAGAGAGATGCTCCACATTAACAGCTAACCTCAAACTCTTCTGATCCAATCCAACCACTTCCTTAATTACGGATGGAAGAGAGTCTTCCTCCTGGATTTAGGTTCCATCCAACCGATGAAGAACTTATCACTTTTTATCTCAGTCAAAAGGTTACTGATTCAAGTTTCACTTCCAAAGCAGTTGCTGAGGTTGATCTCAATAAATGCGAACCTTGGGACCTCCCAGGTATATATTGTACACATGTTTGGGTATATATATCTACTTTTTCCATTGATTTTTTTTCCCGAAATACTATGATTTTATTCCAAACAAAAACTAGCATGGTGCTAGATGGACGCTATTGTCGGACCACCAAAAGAAAGAGTACATGCAGCCCAAAATAGGTTGCTTGACCTGGAATTAAGAAACCGATCGATCTACTTCTTCAATTGATATGCTAGTTTTCTTTTTCTATATGGTCGGAAAAAGTAATGAGATTTTAATGTTTATTTTTGTTGTGTATATTATATATATATACATGTATACAAATGAAAGCAAGACTTTTTCAATTTCCGAAACTTACACAATTTTTTCGTTGATGATCTTATCATGAACATAAATGGATACATTGGTCTTTGATGTGCTTTATCATATGTACCAAATAATAGATAGAGAGTTATACTAATTTTAAGTGACAAATTAATAAATTTGATTTTAAAAAAAAAAAAAAAAAAAAAAAGTACGTAATATCATGTAGGAGTTTTATTATCAGTTCCGAGTCTCCGGATGGTTGCATTAGTTGCAAAGAAAATGAAAAATATAAAGATGTTAGGTTCTAATTTCTACGTTGCCTTATATATTTATTTATTTACCTTTCGCATTTTGATTGTACATGATGCTAGTCATTGGTGAGGGCACCTAATCTTTTTTACCTTCTATTTCATGATTCTATATGTTTCCAAGTTGTCTTTTTGTCGTTGGACAAACAACTATATATATGAAAAATATAAATTAGTTTGATACTTTCAAATTAGTGTATGAACAAGTGAAAACCTAGTACGAGAAGTGATAATTAATCTAACAAGTTGTATGCAGCCAAAGCTTCAATGGGAGAAAAGGAATGGTATTTCTTCAGCATGCGAGATCGAAAATACCCAACAGGACTACGAACAAACCGTGCAACTGTAGCCGGTTATTGGAAGACAACCGGAAAAGACAAAGAAATCTTTCGTGGTGGAATCTTGGTTGGAATGAAGAAAACCCTAGTTTTTTACATGGGTAGAGCTCCTAAAGGTGAAAAAACTAACTGGGTAATGCATGAGTATAGACTTGAAACTACACATGCTTATAAACCTATTAAGGTACGTGCATAACAAGTCATCCGACATTTTATATTAAGTTTTCCTCAAATACTCATATCTCTGTCCATTTCTAACATCATGAATTTGTAAAAAAAATATATATATATATATATATATATATATGAACACATATATATGTGATATTGTGATTGTTATGTTTGTTTTCTTTTAAGTGTAAAGAAAACAAGGGTATAGTAGGTTTGAGGATTCTTATACCATCTTCTACAGGAGGAATGGGTGGTTTGCCGAATTTTTCAAAAAAGCACGACAGCTAAAAAACCAATGGGCACCACATCTTCGCCTCAGTCAATAGATTCACCTTGTGATACCAACACGATGGCAAATGACTATGGTGATATCGAGCTTCCGAACTTAAATGGCATTGCAAATTTAAGTGGTAACATTTCACTTCATAATTACGGCATGGAAACCAACCTCAACACGAACATGAACCTGGATATTAGTTTGGCACACACTCTTCCATTGCTTGCATGGCCATCTAGCATACTAAGTTCAAACCTTTCAATGAATGCGCTACTAATTAAAGCATTGCAACTTAGAAATTACCAACAAAGAGAAGCTACAAATAATTTTGATTATCAATTCATGCCACAAGCGAACTCCAACTTTTTAGATGGGGCAAGTCCGAGCTTACAAGCGTCTTCCACTAGAAATTGTGAATCTTTGCAGCAGCAGGAACAACAGGAGCAACCATTTAACTTGGACTCCATGTGGTAAGCTTTAATGGATAAGATTTGGGACTAACAATATATGATTATCATGGGATTAGATCGGGGCTTTTGAAGGTACAAAAGAAAACGGAAATAAACCTGTGTGGTTTGAATCGTTATGAAGTAGGATAAAGGTGGAATAAATTAAGGAAAGTTTCATTGTGATTATTGTATTCTTTTAAGCTAGCTTAGTTAAGTAGTTAATTGTTGGTTAATTACCTGGCATATATGTTGTATTTACTTTCGGATGTGATCAATGTTAACTTTTCAATTGTACAAATGAGTTTCATGACGGGAACAAAAAAGGTGTAGCTCGCCATCAAACCATTGGAATTAATTTGTGGTATTTAGGCATAAGTTAAGTGCTAGAGGTTTTTTTTATATTTATTTATTTATTTTTATTTTTTGTAAAGGATGTTGTAGCTCTATTTTGTTGGCTATATGCCTGAAATTGGAAGCTATCTAGCATAGTAAAGTTCTATTCCGTATCATATATATCAAAATCTTTGTAGACAGTACTTTTTAAGGACACTATCTTTTTGGTATTTACGTTAACAAATAAATAACTATTATTTGATTTATTTTCTAGCACTTTTTATCTTATTAAAGTATATTATGTACCATTTTATGTACTGTATTAAGTCTAATAGATAGCCCAATGTATTAGTGGTATTGTCCCATATGTAATCTGTATTTATTCTATTGTTCACAATAAAATCTTAATGGGAAAATCCATTGTAAAACATGGTATCATATTCTAATTGATCCTGGCACTCTTGTCGGCCTTATTTTTCTCTCTTCTCCATTCTATTTGTCACTCTTCCCTCCATCTATTATTCCTTTCTTTTTTCTTCGGCAATGACAGGCAAAACAAAACCCTTCACATGTGATGTCTGACGTGAGCTTTTCCTCGCTCATTACCGTGCTTATGGACTCCATGGTTTTCTTGATGGCACCACAAAACCTAAAGATGTTGCCGATTCAGATTTGGATAACCTAGATAATCTTGTCAAGTCTTGGCTCTATGGCACTATGACACAGTCTCTTCTCACAATGATTCTTAATCCAAAATCCACAGCTCACTCAATCTGGGATGACACTGAAGCTCTTTTCGAGACAATAAACACTCTCATGCCATTGAGCTTGACAATGAGTTACGTTCCCTGGTCCAAGTTGATCACTCCATCACCGAGTATTGTCAGAAGATGAAAGCAACTGTTGATTTATTAGCAAACATTGAAGCCCCTGTTCCTCAGAAAACCTTGGTGACCTACATGCTTAATGGTCTTTCTCCAAAATTTAAGAATATATCCATGCTTATACAACACAAAGACCCTCTCCAAAATTTAAGAATATGTCCTTGAAGCCTGATCCACCCTAGTATCGGAAGAGTTTTGTGTTAACAAGAACCACACACCCTCACCATCCCACTTTGATCATGGTTCCTCGTCAACTGTGCTACTCACCAACAACACCATATTTGATAATAGGCGACCCCAAAATCAACATTCTCCTTCAAACTGGCACACAGGAGATTCATCTGATAACCGTCGCTCTTAATCATCATCTTCCGGTGGTCAATTTCTACCTACAAACCCTTGGGCCCCCTATTTCTATCTATGGGTTGCCTATGGATGGCCTACTCCTCCCTCAAGGGTTGTTCCACGCTCCCCCCCCCCCCCCCCCAACCCCCAACCACATAATCTTAAACCCTCGTAGCATTCCCGCAAGCCACCATCTAATGGTTTCCTCGGGAAACAACCAGCCTCTCAAGCAAGTTACAATGCTGCCGCAGCAGCTTTCCACACAGTAGATGATCCCTCATCCATTCCACCACCGTGTCAGTGTTTTCCACTTATTCCTCAAGATCAGCTCACTGAGCTCCCCGTAACCTTCAATGTTAGGGTGAAAAGTCACGCTTTGATGTAGTTTGTGCTTACCCTCTTGTATTGTGTAACGAGTTGTGTTTCCAATAAATAGGAAGTGAGTGATACTCATTTATGTAATGATCATTTTGGAGTGTTAGTTTTAGAGAGAGAAATAGCAAACCCATTTGTACTCTTTTTATCAAAAACTAATGAGCTTAAACCCATATTCATTTGCTCTATGTGTTCATGATTTGTATGATGATTCACTAGATCTTTCATATTTCGCATTTGTCATCATAATCAACACTACTATCAGAGCATGTGTTCTTGATGATCAAGAACTTATCCATGATGGTATTCTAGATTTGATGATTCTTCATTGTGTTTTGATCTTCGTGTTTAGAGAGTGTCTTGTGTTCTAGAAATCGAATTATTCCTTAATCTCTCTAGAATACTTATTTGTGTCACTTGCTCTCTCTAGAATTTGGTTCATATTTACTTTCACTCTCTAGAGATCTCTATGATTATCACTTTCTCTCTCTAGAAAAACTCAAGATCTCATCGATTGATCAAATATGATGGACTTGTCGTAGGATTCTTGGGTTGTAATCGTTGAAGATGTCAAATACAAATCCAATGAAAATCAATTTTATGGGTTAGTGTTAAGCGAGTTGATTTCATGGGGTAATATGGTTTTTTATGGAGGTTTGAACGATGGTCATGGAAGTTTGATGTTTCAACCAATTTGTAAGATTGAATGGTTGACTAAAATTGTTTTGTCCATATTAGTACGTAGTAGAAATCAAAAGAAATGAGAAGAAAGAGATTTGTTTAATAAGAAATACATTTCTCTTATTGAAGACCCAAACGATCTTTATGGTCTTAAGTTTGTTGAAGTTCAAGACTATGAAGTTCAATGTGATGTTCTTGAAGATAATGACAAGAAGATTCAAGTTGATTTTCATGAAGATGAAAAAGTTTTTTGCTCTATTGGAATTCAAACCGATGATATTTTGTGTTCTTGTGATTCGTTTGAAGGAATGATTCCTTATCGAAAGCCGTTAATCCAAGAAATTCACAAGTATCAAACTCCAAAATATTTGATTCAAACTTAAAAGTTGAAGTTGTCAAGAATGAAGTGGTTCTTGAAATCAAATCTTAAAGATGAAAAAAGATGAGAAAGAAAAAGAAGAAGAAGATTAAATGGAAGAACAAGCGGGTTACTAACAAAAATCGTCAAATGTTGTTGTGAATCCGAAATTCATGAAGCAAATTTGGGTTCCAAAGCAACAATCTCCAAATGTTGCATTGAATTTAAAGTCAAAACCCAAAAGTGTTAATGGTTCTTATGAAGATGTACTTAGATCTTTGAAGAACACAGAGAACGAGTTGTACAACACGCATTGTGGGTGGTACAATGTTCAAATTGGAGATTTTATCGTTCCAACAAAAGAACCAAGATCTTCTAAATTTGATTCGTTGCAAATGAAACTCAAATCGTCAAAAATATATTACAAATTCTCAAATGGATTCCAAAACGTCCATGATTTCGATTCATATTTTGCGTTTTTCATTTTTAACCGATTTGTCTCATTGGATCAAAGCCCTTTCTACCAAATTGATTGATCCAATTTTTATTTAGATCAAAATCCCAAAAATCAAATTCAAATTCAAATTTTTTTTCGAAATTCAGTGTTCATCCAAATTTTGTTTTCGAAGCCCAAAATTCCAAATTAGTTCACTGTTCATTAAGCCCATACTTCAAAACTTTGTTTCTTCATTGATCCAATTTTCAAGCCCAAATGAATTATCAGTTCGATACTTTCTCTCGGATCGCATATACATTTTTGTGTTCATTCAATCTTATGTGTCGATGAACCATTTCGATGGTCAAAGCTAAAAGTTAAAATCGACTTTCAAACTTGATTCAAGTTGTTTATAATTGGACTTAGAATTTCGATTATGTTACCAGTTCATGGAGTCGAATATCTTTGACATCAGGTCGAACAAAATCGCATTTATTTGGATTTGTGTTCGTATATGGAAACGACTTTTGGGTCTAAGTTGAACACGTAAGGGTCGAAATTAATTAAGGAATCAAAATTGAATGGATTTGATTTGGATTGAGGGTTCCTTATATGTTAAAAGCGAACACCGTATTTGGGTTATTTTGATTTCGAATGGTTTGCTTGGGAACGAAATCGATTTTGTATGGTAGTTAGATGTGAGTCTGTACATTTCAACGTGTGATAGTTATTTTCGAATGGTTGAAAATCGAATCCCTTATAGGTTTGACGATTCAAAGTTGAAGTAATGAAAGGGAAATCGACATCAATGGTTCGATTTTGGTTGAGGGACCGTTAATATAGAATTTAATTTTTAGGTCCCTGTAATGAAAGCGAAGAACAAAGAGTGATTAGTCGAATGGTTACAGGTCGAGGGCCTCTCACTTGTAAAATCGAAGACAGAAAGATGTTGATGGTTGGAAATTCGATTTTGGAGTCGATGGGTTCGTTGACGAGGTATTATAGATGAAAAGCGAATAATGAAGGACTGTGGTCGAGTGTTTGATAATGAATGGGAATAAAGTCGACTGGAAAGTTGGTGTTTTATTCGAAGGGTTTGATATCGATGAACGAAGATTTGAGACAAAAAGCGAAGGCTTGCGTATGGAAAAGCAAAGGGTTGATGTCAATTTTCGACGTGTGAAGGGATGCTTTTGATTTGTTATGTATGACCCTTTATGCTTCATTTTTTCTGTTGAAAGCTTGTACTTGAAAAGCGAATATGCTTCCTGTGAAACGAATTGGGAAGAAAACAATCATTTTCATTTTGAGTCCCTCATCTATCAACAAAATGGCAATGATCACCCACAATTGAATTGAAGTAAAAGTTTTTGAAGAATGAACAATATTTCTCATTTAGTCCCCACAGTTTCGAAGACTTGGAAGATAATACCTAACTTCAAAATTGGACTAACAAATCTAAGAAATGGAGAAGTTTACAATTCAGTCTTTGTAGTTAGTGCGACTCAACGCTTTGTACGCGGTTTCACAAATGGGGGAGTGTTTCGCATTTTAGATTGTTTTTGGCGCAACAGGTCCCTATAGAATTCTGTTATTGATAGTTTTTACCCGGATTAGGGAAATTCTTGCAACTCTCACCCAAAAGTCGAAAATTTTCACAAAAATTGGAAAATTTTCAAGACTTTTTCGTGATTGTTTTTCCATGTAAGTTTTTTGTGGTTTCATTTTTGGCACACATCAAGGGGGGTTTATGTAAAGACTATTCCCCGGGCGCTTTTCATCCTTAATGGGTTTTATAATCATTCTTTTGATTATAAAAAGGGGAAGAATGAAGAGTTGGTATTCGAAGCTTCTACTATTCATTTGTGGATTTGAAGACCAATATCATTTCAAGGGGAAGTTGGTCTTGATCGTGCAAGATCTTTGGATATTGAAGCTGAGACATCAAATACTAACTTTGAGGGGGGAATGTTAGGTTGCAAAGTCATGCTTGGATGTAGTTTGTGCTTACCCTCTTGTATTGTGTAATGAGTTGTCTTTCCTATAAATAGGAAGTGAGTGACACTCATTTATGTAATGATCATTTTGGAGTGTTAGTTTTAGAGAGAAAAATAGCAAACCCATTTGTACTCTTTCTATCAAAAAACTGACAAGAGATTAAACCCATATTTATTTACTCTATGTGTTCATGATTTGTATAATGATTCACTAGATCTTTCATATTCCGCATTTGTCATTATATTGTCAAGCATATCTGGGTGCCCGACCTACCTTTCGGTTTATCTCAACCGGTTACGGGGTCTAATCCACCCCTCCTACCATTATCTCATAATATCATAGCATAGTAGCACATAAAGCATAACAAAAAGTGCTATACCAGACAATTATCACAAAGACAATCATCTCTACTATAATCAGCTACTAGTGGGTCGGTATTGGTGCCTTCGACCCAATTCTACTAGAAGGTAAGTCACCTCACACTGTTGAAGTCCCGTGGATAAAAATCTAGCTATTGGATGACAGATTCCCGAACTATCAACATCAAAACAAAACCCAATTAATAATTGGGTTCCAATACATAACCATGAGTCCATGCTTAGGGTAAATGTAACATCCGAAGGTCAAGGTTCTGAGGAACAAGGAAGTGCCTTTGGTGCAAGTGCAGTGGCAGCATAGGAAAGGGTCAGAGCTGACTTGGGAGCCGGAGCGCGAGATGCGTGAGCAGCATCCGGAGTTGTTTACAGAATGAGACTTCGAGGGCGAAGTCTGATTCTAGTGGGGGAGAATTGTAACATCCGGAATCCCCGGTATATTATTTTAATATTTTATTTTTGGAATTTGTGAAGGAACTCGGCGAGTTGATGCTTAGACTCACCGAGTAGGGTCGCGGTTGATCATCCGGGTTCGCGTTGGACTCGGCGAGTCCACGTTGTTTAATGAAACCCTAATCCTCCGGGGTTGGAGCCTATTTAAAGGCCCTTATGGCCGTCCATTGCGGCTACCACACCCCAGAGAGAGTCTTAGATCACTTGTGAAGAGAAGAGAGGCCATTGTTGATCAATTGTTGGTAAAATTTGAAGGAAAAGGCGACCAAGGCAAAAGAAGGCCGAAGGAAGTGCAAAGCTAGTGTCTTCAGAGATCAAAGGCTTCATATTAAGGTATTCCTTTGGACCTTCTCTAGTTTTGGGTGTTGATTCATAGAGTTTGGGTTTTGTTATGGCCTTTAGAAGAAGAATATGTAGAGTATTTAGTCCCCTCTCGAGTTTGTGTTTGGATCTGGACTCAAAGGGGTCCAGAGACTTCAACCCATGAAGCTTTATGAGTCTTTGTGGGGTGATTGGACTTAGGTTGCCATTTTTGAGACTAAATCACCATTGGATGCTATAAGTTTCGATCTTTTTTATCGATGTTAGATGGTAAATTTTTTTGCTTAAATCGTCAATTTATACTCGAACTAAAGTTCTCAATTAAATTTTCCGTACAACTAAATTTAATCGTCGTCTCTTGAAGATTCCTTACAACCTAACACGTAAGC